AACAGATCAATGAAACTATAAGCTGCTTCTTTGAAAGAAATAATAAGATAAAATTCTGGAAAGACTTACTAAAAAGAGAAGAGAAAGGACCCAAATTAATAAAATCATGAATGAAAGGGGAGAGATCATGACTAACACCAAGGAAATAAAACAATTATTAGAAATTACCAGCAACTATATGCCAACAAATTAAGCAACCTGGAAGAAATAGATTCCTTTCTGGAAACTTATAAACTATCAAGACTGAAACAGGAAGAAATAGACAATCTGAATAGGCCAATAAAGTGTAATGAAACAGAAGCAGTTAAAAAAAAAAAAAAAACCTCCCTAAAAACAAGAGTCCAGGGCCAGAAGCCTTCCCAGGGGAATTCTATCAAACACTTAAGGAAGAACTAATACCTATTTTTCTGAAGCTGTTTCAAAAGATAGAAACAGAAGGGAAACTTCCAAACTCATTCTATGAGGCCAGCATTACCCTGATTCCAAAACCAGGCAAAGACACCATAAAAATGAGAATTACAGGCAAATATCCCTGATGATGAGATGGGTACAAAATAACAAGATCCTAGCTGATAGAATCCAACAGTACATTAAAAGGATTTTCCATCACGACCAGGTGGGATTTGTTCCTGGGATACAAGCGTGGTTCAACATTCATAAATCAATCAACATGATAGAGCACATTAAAAAAAAAAAAAGACAAGAACCATATGATCCTCTCAATTGATACAGAAAAAGCATTTGACAAAATACTGCATCCTTTATTGATTAAAACTCTTTAGAGTATAGGAATAGAGGGAATATACCTCAATTTCATAAAAACCATCTATGAAAAGCCCACAGCAAATATCATTCTCAATGGGGAAAAGCTGAGAGCTTTTCCCTTAAGGTCAGGAACATGACAGAAATCCCCACTCTCACCACTATTGTTCAATATAGTACTAGAAGTCCTAGCATCAACCATGAGAGAACAAAAGGAAATAAAAGGAATCCAAATTGGCAAAGAAGAAGTCAAACTCTCTCCCTCACAGATGACATGATACTTTATGTGGAAAACCCAAAAGACTCTACTCCAAAATTACTAGAACTCATATAGCAATTCAGTAATGTGGCAGGATACAAAATCAATGCACGGGAATTAGTTGCTTTCCTATCCACTAACAATGTAACTGTAGAAAGAAAAATTAAGGAATTGATTTCATTTACAATAGGACCAAAAACCATAAGATATCCTGGAATAAACCTAACCAAAGAGGTAAAGGATCTGTACTCTAGAACTTTTTATGAAAGAAATTGAGGAAGACACACAGAGATGGAAAAACATTCCATGCTCATGGATTAGAAGAATAAACATTGCTAAAATGTCTATGCTTCCCAGAGAAATCTACACTTTTTTTTAAAAGATTTTATTTATTTATTTGTCAGAGAGAGAGAGGGAGAGAGAGCAAGCACAGGCAGACAGAATGGCAGGCAGAGGCAGAGGGAGAAGCAGGCTCCCTGATGAGCAAGGAGCCCGATGTGGGACTCGATCCCAGGATGCTGGTATCATGACCTGAGCCGAAGGCAGCTACTTAACCAACTGAGCCACCCAGGCGTCCCGAGAAATCTATGCTTTTAAAGCAATCCCTATCAAAATACCATCAACATTTTTCACAGAGCTGGAACAAACAATCCTAAAATTTGTATGGAACAAGAAAAGACCCCAAATAGCCAGGGGGATGTTGAAAAATAAAACCAAAGTTGGGGGCATCACAATGCTTGACTTCAAGCTATATTACAAAGCTGTGATCATCAAGACAGCATGGGACTGGCACAAAAACAGACACAGAACAATGGGACAGAATAGAGAGCCCAGAAATCAACACTTGACTCTATGGTCAACTAATCTTTGACAAAGCAGGAAAGAATATCCAATGGAAAAAGACAGTCTCAGGGCGCCTGGATGGCTCAGTCATTAAGTGTCTGCCTTCAGCTCAGGTCATGATCCCAGAGTCCTGGGATCAAGCCCTACGTTGGGCTCCCTGCTCCGCGGGAAGCCTGCTTCTCCCTCTTAGTCTCCCCTTGCTTGAATTCCCTCTCTCTGTCAAGTAAATGAATAAAATCTTTAAAAATTAAAAAAAAAAAAGAAAGAAAAGGACAGTCTCTTCAATAATGGGTGCTGGGAAAATTGAACAGCCACAGGCAGAGGAATGACAATGGACCATCCACTTACACCATACAAAAAGATAAACTTAAAATGGATGAGAGACCTCAATGTGAGACAGGAATCCATCAAAATCCTAGAGGAGAACATAGGCAGTAACCTCTTTGACCTCTGCCATGGCAACTTCTTTCATGACACATTTCCAAAAGCAAGGGAAACAAAAGCAAAAATGAACTTTTGGTACTTCATCAAGATAAAAAGCTTCTGCACAGCAAAAGAAATAGTCAACAAAACAAAGAGGTAACCCACGGAGTGAGAGGAGATATTCACAAATGACATTACAGATAAAGGGCTGGTATCCAAGATCTATAAAGAACTTGTCAAACTCAACACCCAAAAAACAAATAATCCAGTTTAAAAATGGACAGAAGACATCCAAAGAACAAATAATCCAATCAAGAAATGGGCAGAGGACATGAACAGACATTTCTGCAAAGAAGACATCCAGATGGCCAACAGACACATGAAAAAGTGCTCCACATCACTTGGCATCAGAGAAATACAAATCAAAACCACAATGAGATATCACCTCACACCAGTCAGAATGGCTAACATTAACAAGTCAGGAAATGACAGATGCTGGCGAGGATGCGGAGAAAAGGGAACCCTCCTACACTGTTGGTGGGAATGCAAGCTGGTGCAACCACTCTGGAAAACATCATGGAGGTTCCTCAAAAAAATGAAAATAGAGCTACCCTATGACCCAGCAATTGCACTACTGGGTATTTACCCTAAAGATACAAAGGTAGTGATCTGAAGGGGCACGTGAACCCGAATGTTTATAGCAGCAATGTCCACAATAGCCAAACTATGGAAAGAACCTAGATGTCCTTCAACAGATGAATGGATAAAGAAGAGGTGGTATATATATACAATGGAATACTATGCAGCCATCAAAAGAAATGAAATCTTGCCATGTGCGACAATGTGGATAGAACTAGAGGGTATTATGCTGAGCTAAATGAGTCAATCAGAGGAAGAAAAATATCATACAATCTCCCTGATATGAGGAAGTAGAGAAGCAATGTGGGGGACTTAGGGGGTAGGAAAGGAATAAATGAAACAAGATGGGAACGGGAGAGAGACAAACCATAAGAGACTCTTAATCTCACAAAACAAACTGAGGGTTGCTGGGGGGAGGGAGGGAGGGAGGGAGAGGGTGGTGGGGTTATGGACATTGGGGAGGGTATGTGCTATGGTGAGTGCTATGAAGTGTGTAAACCTGGCGATTACAGACCTGTACGCCTGGGGATAAAAATACATTATATGTTTATAAAAAAATAAAAAATTTAAAAAAAAACTTTAAATCTAAAAAAAAAAAAGAAAGATGGACAGAAGATATGAACAGATGCTTGTCCAAAGAAGACATCCAAATGGCTAACAGACACATGAGAAAATGTTCCGTGTCACTTTTCAACAGGGAAATTAAAATTAAAACCACAATGATATACCACCTCACACCAGTTAGAATGGCTAAAATTAACAAGGCAGGAAACAACAAATGTTGGTGAGGATATGGAGAAAAGGGGAACTTTCTTACACTGTTGGTGGCAATGCAAACCAGTATAGCCACTCTGGAAAACAGTATGGAGTTTCCACAAAAAATTAAAAATAGAGCTACCCTATGGCCCAGTAATTGCACTACTGAGTATTTACCTCAAACATACAGATGTAGTGAAAAGAAGGGGCACCTGCACCGCAACGTTCATAGCAGCAATGTCCAAATAACCAAACTGTGGAAGAAGCTAAGATGTTCTTCACTGGATGAATGAATAAAGAAGATGTGGTTCATATATACAATGAAATTATACTCAACCATTAGAAGGGATGAATACCCACCATTTGCATTGATATAGATGGAACCGGAGGAGATTATGCTAAGTGAAATAAGTCAATTATCACATAATTTCACTCATATGTGGAACTTAAGGAATAGCATGGAAGACATTAGGGGAAGGAAGGGAAAACTGAAGGGGGAGAAATCAGAGGGGGAGATGAACCATGAGAGACTATGGACCCTGGGAAACAATCTGAGGGTTTCAGAGGGGAGGAGTTTGGGGGGAGGAGGTAATAGGGTGATGGGTATTAAGGAGGGTACATGTTATAATGAGCACTGGGTGTTATACACAAATAATGAATCATTGAACACTACATCAAAAACCAATGATTTAATGTATGGTGAATAACATAACATTTTTAAAAAAAAACCTAAAAAAAAAAAAAAAAAACCTGAATGAAATGGTTGGTAGCATTTTGTGATTTTTTTGGCAAAAATTTTGGTTGGTAGCATTTTGGTGATTTTTGTTTTCTTCTTTCTACTTTTGCAGTTTTTCAAAATCATCTACAGCAACAATTGACCGATATTTAATTTTTTATTTTTATTTTTTAAATAAAGATTTTATTAATTTCCTTGAGAGAGAGCACAAGAGAGAACAAAGGGAGAGGGAGCACAGAAGGAGAGGCAGACTACCCCTGAGTGGGCTTCAGTATGGGACTCAATCCCAGGACCCTAAGATCATGACCTGAGCTGAAGGCAGATACTAAATCAGCTGAGAAGCCCAGGCACCCTGATTGACTGATTTTTAGTTAAAAGAGTAAATAAAAGCATTTCTTAACATTCATGCGTCTTATTTAGATTGTTAAAACTACAACTATAAGATGTCCTTATGCTTATGTAGATACATAATACCTTTGAAAAGCAGAACTCTGGGTAATAATCACAATTCATGATTCTTATGTTCATGTCTATTCATTTTTAGTTTCTCACTTTACTTATTGTACTGATTTTTGTACACAGAAGAAAAGATACCCAAGACAGTCTCCTAATGACACAGCGATCTTTAGCACATTTTTTTTCGACAGCAAATTCAGATACAACGCTATCATTTCCATGGTCATTATCCTATGAAATGCCTCTTGATTACACTCTGTCTAGCCCTCACTTTAGTGGACTAACTGTATCAACAATTGGGCAGAAGACTCCTAAAACTACAGGAGTGGGACTTTCCAGATCAGAAAACAGCTTGGGTAAGCAACACATGTACCAATTTTTTTTTTTTTTAAGATTTCACTCATTTATTTGACAGACAGAGATTACAAGCAGGCAGAGAGGCAGGCAGAGAGAGAGAGAGAGAGAGAGAGAGGAGGAAGCAGGCTCTCTGCCGAGCAGAGAGCCTGATGCGGGGCTTGATCCCAGGACCCCGGGATCACGACCTGAACTGGAGGCAGAGGCTTTAACCCGCTGAGCCACCCAGGCACCCCTGTACCAACTTTTTTAAGACGATTTTTAAATCATGTAGTTTAATAGATTCTTTATATGCCTAGAAGTCAGAATGAATTCCAATAACACAGATTCCTTAATGTCATATGTAGAGTAACTTGATTATGCTCGACTTGATCCTAACACTTAGTCATATTCAGGTCATATAAATGTATGTGGCCAAATATATCATCCCCATGATTAAAATATCTTGAATTTTCATAATCGTTTATGGGTTGATGGTTTAGATGCTCTAGAATTGCTAGATAAAAATTCTAATGTGTAGCATTAACGCACCTCCCTCTGAACACTACCAGAAAGATTTAAGCAACGTCTTGTGTATTTGTGCCACTAGGAGACTTATAGCTTAAGTAAGGAAAAAACAGACATATAACAGAAAGAAACAAAATAAATGGTAAGAAAATGGTGGAAAGATAGAACATTAATGAATTTGGAGAAGAAGATAGAACATTAATGAAAACAGTACTACAATAGGGAAAATTCAGGTTTGACAGTTGCCAACAGTGTAACCAATGCACTCAGCAATATCCACAGTGTGTTCCTCATGATGTTAGGGAACTTCAAGGGAATGTTATCATGTTTTACTGAAAACATCATGGTCTTGGAAACAGAGGACTTGTCTAAAGGATATTTCTACACTGTGAGATAATAGGTTAGGTATCCATTGGTCCTATTACACCTACAAGTGCAAAATAGGGATTAAAATATCAACTTCACAGGGCTGGCCTAATGATTAAATAAGATATGTATGAAAATCACCTAGCATATAGTAAGTACTAAATAAAAATTAGCCATGAATATGAATATATCTGTAAGCACCTCCTCCTCATTGAATAGGCTAGATTTGGGGTCTGTATCTTAATTACCAGTCAACAAGTTTCAAAACTGGTAGCATAAACACACCCATGACTACTTGATGCCTCTGTTTTCCTCTATTACTCCGTGGATATTTAAGCCTGACTGTTGGTTATCTATATTTCATTTCGTTTCTGATATTTTGCTAAACTTGTGACACAGTGTTATGTAGGATTTTGATCTACTGCCATTATTTCCTATGCTTCATTGTTTGTATGCCTATAATCCACTTTTTGAAGAAGCCTCCTAAGATTACAGTGACCTTTAGCAATGACTAAAATCCATACACTCTAAAGCGAGAATACCAACTTACATCTAGGGACAGAATATTTTTCCTTCTTTATCCCTGTACCATCATAGTATATATTCTATATTTGGATTAAACTGTGCAAGATCTTAGGAAAAAAAAACAAATTATAATGGTTTCCCCTTGCAAAATGAGAGTTGAGCTGGGATATGTAGTCTTCTTCAGCTACTGTAGGTTCAGGTTCTATAGATAAATGCCGGGATCCACTGCAACTTGTTGCCTTTGGTTCCTTTCCATCTGTTCCTCTAGATGAAATAACAATTAGAACTAAAATTAATTTCTTCTTCCTTTTTACAATATAAAGGCTTTCATCCCTCAAGATAGGCCATCAAAAAGAATACTATATAATCTCCTTCCCCAAAGGAATTTAAGGATTAAGTAAATACTCAAATGACTGGGAATGAACTAACTTAATTCCAAATATTTCTTCTAGACAAAATATTTTGAGGAATCCTCTTTAGCAACTATGTGTTTATTCATTGCTATCTTTCACCTTGCTTTGGTTTTGTTAAAGATATAAGAATATGAAGCAAACTCTAGATTGTCTCAGTCTTTTGATGATTTCGGACACAGTGAACTACACTATTGTAGCAACTACAATAATTGCTGTCACTTACTAAACACCTATTAAAAACTAGACACTGTACTAGGCAGTTATCTACATTTTCTTCAATCCTCACATTACCTTACACAAGGTTGTATTATTTTATGTTCAGGAAAATGGAGAATTAGAAAGTTTAAATCAGTTGGCTTACTAAGCGGCAGAGCTGGGATAAAATCCAAGACACATTGTTCTAACCACGTCATCAGGGTCTCTCTCTATAGCGTTACTCACTCTTTGCAGACACATCATTAGATTTATCCAGCCTGCTGCTTTCCATGCAAAATTATAAAAACTATTTTGTATTTAAACCTTAGTAGTGAAAATTTTAAAAGAACAAATTTCCAAGAGGATACTAGAGACTGATTAAGCATTACTCTCTCTTTCTAATAAACTATTTTAGTTGATTAGAGGAAATTCAAGTCCTTACCTAGCAAAATTACTAATTATTTGTAGGAAGGGTTCATTTGCAGTTTTAATTTATGGGTAGTAATTTGGGAGGATGGTTAATATGAAATAAAGTTGTATTTATATATAACATGTCCAAATTTGAGACGCTCAAATATTTACCTCCTTGAGAACTTATGATGCTTCTAGTACAATGGAATAATCAATTAAATAAAAGTCATTATGCTAATGATGTTATTGATAATTTAAGATAACTGACATAATCTCTAGGAATTGTGTCTCTAAAAATAATCACTAGTTATTTCATAGACTTTGGTGTATAGCTTTTAATTATCCTCATTGAGTTTGAAAGTGAGAGTAAAATGCACAAAGAAAATAATTTTGTAGAAGCAAAGAACAAAGATAGTGGCTTTGTGTTCTTTTAATGTCCTTTTATTTACTTCTCTTTGTTTCTTTCCTCTTTGGTTTCTTTGAAAGGAATCAACAGCTCCATAATGACAAAGAGACAGGCTCTGCCATACCTTGCTCCTGAGATACCAGTAACTGGGGAAGGAGAAGATTACTTCCTATCTTTGTTTGGTGATTCAAAGAAACTTCTTTCACACTCATCCCCTGCAGAGAAAGCCTGGAAACACTTTTCTATGATTCTTGAAGAAGTAGGCCAATCTAGATCCAGGTACATATTCTATTTGAACTATTTAACATCTTCTATTGGAATAGGAACTACTTTACTTCAGTAGGAAATGAAGTTTGTTTTTTTTTTTTTTAATTTATTTGACAGATCACGAGCAGGCAGAGAGGCAGGCAGAGAGAGAGGAGGAGGCAGGCTCCCTGCTGAGCAGAGAGCCCGATGCGGGACTCAATCCCAGGACCCTGAGATCATGACCTGAGCTGAAGGCAGAGGCTTTAACCACTGAGCCACCCAGGCGCCCCAGGAAATGAAGTTTTAATCTGATATTACATTCCTGATTTCATCTAAAACCCTAAGCAGTTTATTAAAATATAACTGTTTTATGTTCTGAGCAATGATAAGAAATCAATGTAACTTATTAGGGAACCAAACAAGGAATGCTGATTTTTTCAAAGATGCCAGAGGAAACAGCACTACATAATCCCTACAAATAAAGTCAGCTCTATTTTTTGTTATTGGCAAATCATTCATATGGAGTTAGTGTCTGTTTTTCTCTTCTACTAGGTGCTTGAGTTCAAAATAGAAGGAAAATTGATCCATTTTTATGGTGGTTGATATCTATGGCAAAAAGAATTGGTCAGGAAGAAAGTTGATATTAGAGCTAAAATAAAAGAGCTGACTCCTTTATACATTTACTTAATCCTGCTTTTCTTTTTGCTTTAACAACAGATTGAATTGTGAATTATTAGAAATAAACACATGTCAACAGAGAGCGTGAGAGGGCTAAAAGGAGTTACTAGCCAGTTTAAAGGTCAGACATAAAGGAAACTGTTTTCCCCTTGGGTCAGATTTCCTAAAATCAACCACTATTACCATTCAACTATAGTGAATAATTAAGTGTTCACTCAACCATCTAAAAGCACTATATGAAATTATTCATTCAACATCTAACCAGTGTGTTGAGAATGATGATCTATTTGGAGCAAAAATTCAAAGAAAAAAAAAAGACTTGTGAATACGGTTTTAAGAACTTTCACTCAGACCAGGAAGACCTGTAGGCAAAAGGATTGAGAGAGGCAAATAAAGGATCAAGGCATTTAGAGAATTTTCTCCCAGTAGACGATGACCTGGGAAGATTTTGTGAAGGAGTTGTTAAGGAGAATTATAAGAAAGATAAGTAAATTTTGGATATGCACTAGTTCTCAATTGTACCTACAAAGTTGAATCAGCTGAGAGGTTTTTAACGTTCTGACCCTAGCCTAGACTCTTTGAGTCAGAATTTCTAGTGGTAGAATTGAGCATTGTATTTTTTTTTTAAATCCCATGGTAATTCTAATGCACAGTCAAGGCTGAGAACCGACAGCCTAGAGAAAAGGAGCAGCATAAACAAAGTGAAGGAGGCAGAAAAAGCTAGGATCTGGTTGATATAAGGCACTTTATAGCATTGCCCCACTGAACAGTGCATTAGTTGGTATAACAGAGTTGTAGGGGCCAAGACTGGAGAGTGATCACAGGGAGCCTTGAACACCAGGATGAGGAATTTGATTTTTATAATGGGAAATGGGAAGCAACGGGAAAGTTTCAAACAAAGGAGTAACAGGATCATAACTCAGAATGTTGAACTGTGGCAATGAATATTATGAATGAATATTGGGTTTTTGTCAAATGCTTTTTATGCATCTACTGAAAAGATCATATGGTTCATCTTAATGTTAAAGCAACCATACACACTTAAAATAAACCTCCCTTGATCATAATATTTATTCTTTTAATATATTACTGAATTTTATTGGTTAAAATTTTGTTTCAAATATTTACATCTGTGTTTGTGAAAAGTATTGATCTGTAGTTTTCTTCTGTAATGTATTTGCTTTGACATTAAGGTAAAGCTTGCCTCATAGAATGAGTTGGGATATAGCCCCTCCTCTTTCATTTTCTAGCTGAGTTTATATAGAAGTAACTTTTTTCTTAAATATTTTATAGAATTCATCAGTGAAGCCTTCTGGGCCTGGAGTTTCTTTGGGGGAAGGTTTTTATCTACAAATTTTATTTCTGGAAAATAGATATCATGATATTCCAGTTATCTATTTCTTCTTGGATAATTTGTGTCTTTCACACAATTTGTCCATTTCAACTACTTTGTCAGATTAATTGTCATAAAGTTGTTCATAATATTCCTTTATTTTTTTTTTAGTATCTGTAGTGATGTCACATTTCTAATTGCTGATACTGGTCAGATATGTCTTCTATCCGTTTCCTAATCAATCTTGCCAGAGAGTCATCAGTTTATTGAGCCTCTCAAACAACCAGTGTTTGGTTTCATTGGCTTTCTGTGGTTTTTGTTTTGTTTTCTATTTTATTGATTTCCATTCTGATATGTGTTTACTTTCTTCTGCCTAACTTAGGTTTCCTTTCCTTTTCTTTCTCTAGTCTCTCAAGGTGGAGTCTGAGATCATTGATTTTATACCCTTTTCTCTTCTAATATAAGCATTTAGTAAATTTCCCCCTAAGTACAGCTTTAGTAGCATCCCACAAATTTGATATGTTGGATTCTCATTCATTTCAAAATACCTTCTAATTTCCACTTACTTTCTTCTTTGATCTTTGTGTAATAAGAAGTTCCCAAATGTTGACAAATTTGCAAGTTACAGTGATTTTCCAGATATGTTTTTATTATCAATTTTTAATTAAATGCTATAATGGTCAAAGAACATACTTTGCACTACTTGAGTCCTTTTAAAGGTATTAAGACTTGTTTTACAGTCAGGATATTGTCTATCCTGGTAAGTGTTCTGAATGAACTTACAAAGAATTTATATTCTGATGTTGTTGAATAGAGTATTTTATAAATATCATTCAAATTCAGGTCAAATTTAGTTACTGGCATTAAGTTACAGTCTTTTTGTTGCTTTTATGTCTACTTGTTCTATCAATTTTTGAGAAAGGGGTGTTAAAATCAACTATAATTGTGGATTTATTGATTTTGCCTTGCTGTTCTATCAGTTTTTTTTCTTTTATATACTTTGAAGTTCAGTTACTAGATTTACAAACATTTGAAATTGTTATATCCTCTTAATGAACTGATCTCTATATCATTATGAAATGACCTTCTTTATCCCTGGCATTATTCTTAGTTCAGAAATCTACTGATATTAATATAACCATCCCAGCTTTCCTTTTCTTATTGTTAGCATGGTAAGTCTTTTTCCATTCTTTTACTTTTAATCTATTTGTGCCTTTATATTTAGAATGCATGTTTTGTAAGTAGCATGTAGTTGAGACTTGTTCTTCTATCAAATCTAATAATCTCTGTCTTTTGAGCATTTAAACTGTTTACATTTAAAGTAATTGTTAATATTTGTTTTCTATTTGCCCCAACTATTCTGTGTTGTCTTTCTCCTCATTTTCTGTATGCTTTTGAATTGAGCATTATCAATGATTCTATTTTATTTCCATTGTTGGCTGATTAGCTATAACTCTGTTATTTTAGTGATTCCTTTAAGGTTTGTAGGATATCTTCAGCCTGTCCCAGACTACCTTCAAGTGATATTATACCACTTCACAAATAGTATAAGACTTTTCAATAGTATTCATTTCTTTCATCCCAAATATTGTGTTTTTGCTATCACATATTTTATTTCTACATATGTCATAAATCGCATACTCCATAGTTATTTTGTTTAATAATTATTAGAAGAAATTTAAAATATAAGAAAAATATGTTATATATTTACCCTCATATGTTTTCACTGCCTTCCAGTATTTCTTTTTTGTAAATTATGTTTCCATCCCTTATAATTTTGCTACTACCTGAAAAAGAACTTCCTTTCTTGTAATGTGGATCTGCTTGTGATGAATTCTTTCTTCAGTTTTTAAACAGCTTTATTGATATATCATTGACATAAAAATGGTGTGTGTCTATATATACATATATACATGATGTATATGATATATGTTATTTTGTCTTTTTGGTTTTTTATTAAGATGTAATTGACATATAATATCATATAAGTCTAAGGTGTACAACATGATGAATTGATACTTATATATTGTGAAAGGAATACCATTAAGTTAGTTAACAGATCCATTACCTCACATAATTATCTTTATGGTGTGTGTGGTGAGAACATTAAGATCTATCTTCTCAGCAATTTTCAAGTATCATTAACTATAGTCACTGTGTTGTACATTAGATCTTTAGAACTTACTCATTTTGCTTAACTGCAAGTTTGTACCCTTTGAACCACATAATCCCATTTCTGCCACCCCCAGTCCCTAGCAACAAGCACCATCAAGATCATACAATATTTCTTTCTGTATCATGCTTATTTTGTTTAGCATAATGTCCTTCAGTTCCATCCATGTTGTCATACATCCATATTGAAGTCAGGATTTCCTTCTTTTTAAAAACTGAATAGTTCAGTGTGTGTGTGTGTGTGTGTGTGTGTCTGTGTGTGTGTGACATTTTCTATAGCCATTCATCTATTGAAGACATTTAGGCTGTTTCCATATTTTGACTATTGTGATAATGCTGCAATGAACATGAGAGTGCAGATATCTCTTCGTGATCCTCATTTCATTTAATTTGGGTATATATCCAGAAGTGGGACTGCTGGATCATATGACAGTTATATTTTTAATTTTTTTAGGAACTTCTGTATGTTTTCCATAATGGCCTTATTAATTTATATTCTCACCAACAGTACAAGTGTTCCTTTTTCTCCACATCCTCACCAGCACTTATATTTTTTTTTCTTTTTTTTTAAGATTTTATTTATTAATTTAATAGAGAGCACACGAGCAGAGGGGAGAGGGAGCAGGAGAAGCAGCCTCCACACTGAGCTGGGAGCCCAACATAGGGCTCTATCCCAGGACCCTGAGACCATGACCTGAGCTGAGGCAGAAGCTCAACAGACTGAGCCACCCAGGCACCTCATCTTTTCTTTTTGATAATAGCCATCCTAACGAGTATGAAGTAATATCTCATTGTGATTTTTATTTCATTTCTCTGGCAATTTGTGTTGTTAAACACCTTTTCATATACTTGTTAAACATTTCAATTTCTTTTTAAAAGTTTCTATCGTGGTCCTTTGCTACTTTTTAATCAAGTTATTTGCTTTTTTACTGATGAAATGTATGAATTCCTTATATATTTTGGCTATTAACCCTTACCAGATATATGGATTACAAATATTTTTCTCATTCTGTGGGTTGCCTTTTCATTTTGTTAACTATTTCCTTTTCTGTGCAGAGTTTTTTAGTTGAATGTAATCCCCCTTGTTTATATATACTTTTGTTGCCTGTGCTTTTGTGTCGTACCTAAGAAATTACTATCAATACCAATAGCAAGATTCCACCCCCTTTTTTTCCCTATGACTTTATGGTTTCAAGTCTTATCCCATTTTGAGTAATTTTTGTATATGCTATGACATAGGGGTCCAATTTCATTCCTTTACATGTGGCTATCAGTCTTCCATCATTCACTGAAGAAACTATCCTTTCCCCATTGTGTAATTTTGGCACTCTTGTTGAAGATCAGTTGACCATAATTTTTATGCATGGGTTTGTTTTGGGCTTTCTATTCTGTTCCATTGGTCTATATGTCTATTTTTATGCCAGTACCATACTGTCTTATTTACTTTAGCTTTATAATATAATTTGAGGTAAAGAAGTGGGATACCTCCAGCTTTTTTCTTCCTGCTCAAGATTGCTTTGTCTATTTGGGGTCTTTTGCGGTTCTATATGAATTTTGAGTTGTTTTTCCAACTTCTGTAAAACACACACACACACACACACAAACACACACAGAGGTCTTTGGTATTTTGATAGACATTGCATTGAATCTATAGATCACTTTGAGTAGTACGAGCATTTTAACAATTTAGCTCCTCCAGACCATGAACATCCAATGTCTTTCCATTTATTTTGTCTTTTAAATTTCCTTCATCAATATTTTGTAGTGTATAAGTTTTCAATATTATAGTACAATATATAGTACAATTTCAGTGTACAAGTCTATCACCTCTTTGGTGTAGTTAATATATAAGTATTTTATTCTTTTTATTGCTAATATAAGTGAGATTATTTTCTTAATATCTGTTTTAGTTAGTTTATTATTAGTGTGCAGAAATTCCACTGATTTTTGCATGTTGATTCTGTAGGTACAACTTTACCTAATTCATTTTTTCTAATAGCTTTTTATAGTGTTTTTAGGATTTTCTACATATATGATCATGTCATTCTGCAAATAGCTGTAATTTATATCTCTTCTCATTTGATCATCTTTAATTTTTTTTTTCTTACCTGATTGCTCTGACTAGGACTTCAAGGACTATGTTGAATAGCAATGGTGAGAATGAACATCCTTGCCTTGTTCTGGATCCTAGAAAAGCTTTCAGGTTTTCCCCATTGATTTTGTCTTTTACCCAATGGTGATTTAAGAATGTGTTGTTCAATTTCCATGTATTCATGAGTTTTCTTGTGTTATTGGTTTCTAGATTCATTTCACTGTCACTTGAGAAGATAGCTGGGATGATTTTAATCTTAAATTGTTGACTTATTTTGTGGCCTAACATGTGATCTATCCTGGAGAATGTTCTGTGTGTGCTCAAGAAGAATATGTATTCTGCCACTGTGGGGTGGCTGTATAATAGACATATCCATTTTGTCTATTGAGTTATTCAAGTTAGCTCTTTCCTTATTGATTTTCTACCCTCAATATTCTGTCTATTATTGAAAATGTGGTTATAAAATTTCTTATTATTGTAATGTTGTCATTGTTTCCCTTTAGCTATGTCAATATTTGTTTTATATATTTTGGTGCTCTGATGTTGGGTGGATAAATATTTACAATTTTTACATCTTCCTGTTGAATCGACCCTTTTATCAAAGACCTTTATATAAAGGTCTTAAGAATGACAATTTTTTACTTAACATCTTTTTATCTAATATAAGTATAGCTACCTCTACTTTATTTTGTTTAGCATTTGCATGAAGTGTATTTTTTTTCTATCCATTTTCTTTCAACTTATGTGTGTCCTTATATCTAAAATGAGCCTCTTATAAACAGCACATTGCTGGATATTGTTATCTGTTTTAATCTATTCAGCCATTCTATGCCTTTTGATTGGAGAATTTAACCCATTTACATTTACAACCCATTTACATTTAAAATTACTATCAATAGATTAAAAACTTGGTATTGCCATTTTGTTCATTGTTTTGTTTTCACAGTTCCTTTGTTCCTTTCTTCCTCTCTGTCTTGTTATTTGATAAATTTCTGTAATGGAATTATTTCTGGTTATCATAATGCTTGTATAGATCTTCTTGCAGCTTTAACTGTCTATTGTGATTTCATAATTACTTAAGTTCAATTCAATATAAAAATTCTACACTTTTACCTCACATACACTTTATGTTCTTGAAACCAGAATTGCCTTTTTAAAATAATGTGAATCCTTTGCAAATTTTCATATTTATAGTTATTCTAAATACTTTTGTTCTAACTTTTATGTTTGATTATTAGTAATTCGTGCACAACCACGAGTGTCATATTATTTTGTACATATATAGAGAGAAATAGATATATAGATATATACATTTGCCATTGAGATTTATACTTCCACATATGTTCCTGTTGTGTTTAGTGTGGATAATTATCGTATAGTTTCATTTATTTGTGGAACACAAGGAATAGCATGAAGGACAATAGGGGAAGGAAGGGCAAAATGAAGTGGGGGGAACATGGAGGGAGATGAACCATGAGAAACTATGGACTCTGAGAAACAAACTGAGGGGTTTAGAGGGGAGGGTGGTGGAAAGGCAGGTCACCCTGGTAATGGGTATTAAGGATGGCACATATTGCATGAAGCACTGAGTGTTATACACAAACAATGAATCATGGAACACTACATCAAATACTAATGATGTACTGAATGGTGACTAACATAACATTATAAAATAAATAAATCCATAAATAAATGCATAAACAAATAAATAAATAAAAGCATAGAGAACACTAGAGAATTTCTTTCTCAAGAAATAAGAGAATTAAAATCAAAACAAGTCTCAATCAAAGAGGCTCTAACTGCAAGGTTAATGAGGCAGAAGAGAGAATTAGTGATATATAAGACAAATGATGGAGAATAAAGAAGCTGAGAAAAAGAAAGATAAACAACTATTGGATCATGAGGGGA